ACTGACAGATTCCGAGGAAAAAAGAACAGCAGTCATGCTGTTGGCAAACATAATGGGTTTAAGAGGCTACAGTGCGTATGACGGGCCCAGTATCGCTTCACTACTGCGAGAATCCTGGTCCGCAATAATCTTTCCCAACCATTCGGTATTCGGTCTGGCGTTCGACAGGGTTATATCCTGTCGCCCATTCTGTTCAACTACACTTCTGACTGGATTCTTGGAAGGGGCCTACACGACAGTGACGGTATGGAGTTTGCACCCGGACACCGACTGACTGATCTTGACTATGCCGATGATATCGCCTTACTTGCTTCAAGTTTTGGTGATTTGCAGTCTACGGTGTCACGGGTGAACGAGGTGGCTAAGTCGGTCGGTTTATCCATAAACGCTGGGAAGACCAAAGTGTTTTCAAGCTGCACCCCTGACCAGGAGGAGGCACCCCTCTGGATTGATGGCTGTCAACTAGAAGAAGCAGACAGTTTTAAATACCTCGGGGACAGGCTGCTGTATAAGGAACAGAGTAAGGACGACATTGTCTCCCTAATCGATGCTGCCCGCTGGGTTTTCTCAAGCCTTCGAAAATGCCTATGGATCCGAACTGACCTCTCCATCGCCACTAAGATTCGCGTGTGCCGTGCATCTGTCCGGTCTGTCCTTCTCTACGGTTGTGAATGCTGGGCCTTGCGCGTGGAGGACGAGCGAAAACTGGAAGTATTTGATCAGCACTGCTTGAGGACCATCCTTCGAGTAAAGTTCACCGACTTCGTCTCAAATGAGATAGTCCGCACTCGTTGCAAAAACATCGCAAGGATAACTCAGGCCATCCAAGAAAGATGACTGAGGTGGTTCGGGCATGTTCTTCGTCGTCCAACTCAGGAGCTCAGTGTTACTGCCCTCGATCCGGCCCCATTGGAAGCGTCGAAGAGGGGATCAGTTCAAAACTTGGCTCGACACAGTTCGTCAAGACATGAAGGTGGTTCTTGAACCTTCGGTATTCGGTCTCCGTCGTTGGCGAAGATAATGGACTGAGCTGTCCGGATCTGCTGCCGCGGATCGTCACGCGTGGAGAGGTACAGTTCGTGACAGCATCGAGGCCGGCTACATCGGGCATGATCGCAGCCGGTAAGTAGGTACCGGTAGCTTCGAATGACATGTACGGCAATTGAGCCAAGCGTGATAAAGAAACCGCGAGAAAAGCAGAAGCAGTCATGCGGACTCATTCAAAACCAACAGGCCGCGGACACTCGTGCTCCGATTAGTCAGCCAGCAGGATAAGAAAACATCGTCTACTAAAACCAGTGGCAGTCCCCACGGGTATCATTTTCGAGCGTCTACGCATTAGACGCACCGGATGTTGCTTACCCCATCTGTCGGTTAATTGATGCCTCTTATGAAGTATACACGAGATAGTACACATACACCAGGAAGTATGCTGAGCGCCATATGGTATGATTTTGCTTACACGGCAAGGATACGCCGGTTGTACAGTACCTGTGCTAACTCATGAAATGCCGAGGTCAAAATTATAGTGGACAATGTAGTGTATTTTTGGTGTCGTAATTTGTGTTTATTTAGTTGAAATAAGGACGAAAAGACCGTTTTCTGAAGGAAAGTTTGATACGGATCTGTATATTAAATAGAAAACGGGCCGGATTAAGGCGAAATCGGAGGATTCCTGACATTCAAGCAGTTTCCTACGCTATTAAAGCTTTCGGATGGAAATTCTTTGTGTAACCTTATTAATCTGTTTAAGAAGATTAATAAAAGGACGAAATTTTTTGACAAACTTTCGAACAAAAATAAAAAATTAAATTTCAATATCAACAAAATCAGGGAAATGCAGATTAATTATTTCTTATTGTGTTCAGGAAATAACGTGCGATTCTTTATCTAAAAATTCTATTTTACAAATTCGTAAAGTTTTATGTTTCAAAATACCGAAATAAAAAAGTTTATCAGTGTGATTGTTTTACCAGACTGAAAATGCGTGTCGTAAACGAATATATATTGATTTCGCGCGACATGCCGTCACTTTGCTCTGCCACGCCAAACGATAACTGTCTAAACAATACTTATCCGAAGTTGACTTCCAACGCATTCGAAAATTAGCGGCGGAAGGAATCCCGCGTGAGTCGTTAGCTAGTATTTTCAATATTAGCAAGGTCACTCTGTGGCGCATTATTAATGATAAAACTGTTCCTAGAAATAAGATAGGGGGACCAAAACGGTCCACAAGAAAGCAAGACGACGATTTTATTCGTCGTACATTAAAAAAGTTTCATTACATGCCCATTGAGACCATTCAGCGGGAACATCTGCCGATGTTTTCTATGAACATCATTAGAAAAAGGATGAAGGAATTTGAACTGCAGCGGCGGAAGGCCATAATTAAGCCATATTTAAGTAGAAAACTAATTAGAGAACGGCTTTTATTTGTTAAGAATTATATTGATTACAGATCTTCATTTTGGAAGAGCATTTTCTTCTGCGATGAGGTTCTATTTTTAGACAAGCCTATGAAATCGCTCCAAACCGTCATATGTGGGAAGAACTTCCCAAGAGAACACACTACACCGACGGCAACATTCAAGAACTGTCGGCGGATGATGGTTTGGATGGCGATTAAATTCGGTGAGCGGCCTGTCTGGCGGTCAACATCCGACACCATCAACAGCAAGGTGTTCATTGCAATTGTCAAGGATGCTTTCGGCTACAACGGCATAAGTCGGCGCCGAATGGATACTGTAATTTTGCAGGACAATCCACCTGTCCACCGCTCTAAAGAGGTACGAATTTGATGCCGCTTGCAAATATAATCTAACATTTTAGACAACAACCACGCTCTCCGCAATTGGCCTCCAATCCATTTTCATCCCGGCCAACAGTCCCGATTTGAATCCTATCGAAAATCTTTTTGGAGTAATCAAAAGAAATTGGTACAAAGCTAAGAAGACTCTTTCAATGCAGGAAAAATTGGATTTCATACTCAATAATTACATTTTACAATCCACCATAGATAACCTTGTCATGTCTATGTCGGACAGACTTTCTGCTGTTATTAATTCGAATGGACAATTTACAAAGTACTAATTTTTTGTATCTGTTTCTGTCCTTAATTATTTTTGACCTTTTATGCGTCCTCCTCCTTTATACGTCCTCATGCGTAGCCTTTATTAACTTGGTTGTAATATAGGCGTTTCTCGAAAATGTGACTTTTGTCGAAAATTATTTATTTTTATCTTAGTCGTAATGCGCCGATACTAGTTACCCTTTTCTCCATGATCGAAGTTGATTTTATCTTGTCGAGAAGGGAGATGACTAGAGACTTCTGCCGTAAATGGCGCTGCTCCGTTTCGCCAGACCTCACACCCCTGAAGCGAAGACTGAATAACCTAAAATTGGCAAAAACCAACACCAAGATAATGACACCTACTGTCAGTCTGAATATGTCCTCTACAACACCATCAGCGGCATCTGCAAGTCACGGCATAGTCAATTCCGTAGGGAGTTCGACTACTTTTAATGCTGGCCTCTTTAAACACACCACCACGCCTGGTATAAACACGCCTCTATCGACTCCCTCAGCAACCCCTAGTAAGCCGAAGCATGTGCCAAAGTCAAAGGCAAATCCAATTGCTGTCTCAGCCACTCGGACACCCAATAAATCCAGCACCATTATAAAATCTTTTCCTCCACAATCGGCTAACAGTGCCTCAAATACCCCGACTCAAAACGTAGCGGGTTCGCAACTGCCCCCAGCCCTCATATCGAGGCAGTTAGGCCGAATATGCCGATTTTCCCACCGTTTAATAGACCTCTTGTTCCAATGGAAACAATGCGTCCCCCACCCCCTTACTTGTTTCCTCCACGGCCGTTTTACCAATTTATTCCTCATGATAATGTCCATACTGAATCAGTTAATTCATCCGATCCTCAGTTTCGTCCCGGCGGGAATACGTTGCAGTAACTGCCCCGCGGATTTTCAGCTGAAAATAAGTTAGCTAATAATAGTTACCAGTTTACCTGCCCGTCATTCCCTCCCCCAAGTCCTACCCCTTTTTATCCACGTCAGAGCTTTCTGATGCCACAAAATTTTTTGCAGAACCGGATGGGTATATCCGCAGCGTTTGCTCCGTGGGCGACACAGAACTGGACGATGTAGCCCACCTCCCTCAAAAACTAACAGCCTTTCACTTCAAACTCTTTGTTTTAAATGTCAGATCCTTGCTTAATAAGATGCCTTTGCTTCAGACTCAGGTTTTCGTCCATTGTCCTGATATTGTTTTAGTAACTGAGACGTGGGCATCAGCCTCAGTAGCTGACTCCGAACTCTCTCTTCTAGGCTACAATTGCGTTCGAAATGATCGCCAAGATAGCCGTGGTGGGGGCAGCTGCGTCTTCGTTAAGCAAACGCTTACATGTTTGCCGTTGGACCTCCCGCACTTTTCCGCACTAGAAGACCGCTGCTGGCTCCAGGTTGCTTTAAAAAATAAGTTCTCCTAACTCGTTGGCTGTGTCTATCGCCCTCCCAACGCCAAGGACAATTTTGATCGTTTTCTCTCACAGGCATTTCATGCTGCGACCGACTTAAGCTTTAAGTATGAATTGGTTGCGGGTGACTTTAATCTCCCTGAAGTCCGCTGGTCTCCGACTTCAGGCCCCAGAAGGTTCGATGACTTTCTTGAGGCTGTGGATGTCGGGATGTGGAATCAGGTTGTCGATTTTCCCACCCGAGGATCAAGTATACTTGACTTAATTTTCTGTAGAGGCTGCTTGCCATCGTCAGTGTCATCCCTAGGCCCACTCGAGGGCTCAGACCATGACGTAGTTGTTTCAACGTTGGAATTCGAGGCTGACGAAATGCCGTCCCAAAAGTATAACTTTTTCCGCGATTTCCGATCCACTCGCTCAACCCAATTATTAACACACCTTAATTCCTACGACTGGACTGATTTATTTCTTAGGTTGGATGTAAATGTTTGCACTGCAAAACTGTACGAAATTTTGGATCCGCTTATTTCTCGTTTTGTCCCCCGTAAGAAAATAATTAACGCCGAGGATGAGATTTTCCTACCTTTACCCTTTTGTCGCAGATTGCGCAGGCTTTATCGTCGTTTCCATCTGCAGAACGACGTTTCTGTTCTGCCCTTGATTAGTGATATTTTTGATCGAGCTAAGAGATTGTCTGAAGAAAAACAGCTAGCCGAAGAGGTCCAGTTTACCGAAAACCACTCGTTAAATGTCTCGAAACTTTTCTCTAGAAATATACGACCTCATCGAAAGACGCAGTATCCCAACATTCCAGACGATCTCGGAAATCCCATAGTTGATGCCCAGTTAACCGCTGATAGCTTCAATGATTTCCTGGCCAAAACGTTTATTGAAGACTCGACCACTGCGCTTCCGACCATCCATTCATTGACCAGGGCAGTTCTAGAAACTATAACTTTTACTCTGTGGGATGTGACTGTTGCGATTCGGCGTTTTCGTCAATCTTATAGTCCAGGCACTGATGGTGGCCCAGTAAGCATTTTAAAAGCCGATGCAAACACGATCTTCCCATCCCTCTTATGCAAGATATTTAATCTTGCTCGTAAAACTGAAACCTATCCTACCTTGTGGAAGGAATCACACATTCTGCCCATTCCTGAGCACGGCAAATCTACATCATTTGATGACTTTCGGCCAATAAACACCCTCCCCGCAGTTTCGAAGATCTTAGAGTCATTGATCAAGGATAAGATGATGTGTCACTTAACAGCGAATAACTTACTGAGTGGTGCTCAGCATGGATTCTTCAAAGCTCGATCTTGTGACACCTGTCAACTCTCTTTCTT